CTCACCCGTTTATTTAGACTTTGACTTCATGAAACGATGCAATTTAGATCCAAATTTATGATTTTTTAAAGTAAGTCATATCTTACACAAATAATGAAAATAATATAAAATCAAGAAAAATCATATTAAATTCATTCAAATATTAATAAAATAAGGGTAATTTGCATCATGAATTCTGCGATTTGATTGATTGCAAGAATTTTACAATTTGGCCCTCAATTTCATTAGTTTATTCATTTTTTTACTTTCTGAAACATTGTGATTTAATTTCAAATTTATAATTTTTAAAAGTTACGTCTTATCCTACACAAATAATAGAAATAATATGAAATGAGTAAAATCATATTAAATCCATTCAAATATTAATAAAACCAAAAAAGAAAACTAAAATGAGGATTATGATGGCCATAATTTAAGACAACTTTTAAAGGAGTAAAAGAGGTATTTCGATCCCTAAGGTGTAAAGTTAAGTGAAACAAGAAAAAAGATAGGGTCGCCAAAAATAAAAAATTAAGAGAGATAGAGGAAAGGTAAGTGACAAAGTATTGAAATGAAAATATGAGTAAGTTACACCTATTGTATTTTGACTTGACATTTTTAATACAGACAAAATGTAAGAGTGAAAAATTAAGGTTAAAAAAAATATATATATAATGATATCTAAAGATATAAGAAACGATAGAAAGAATAATAGAAATTGAGAATTGGGAAAAAAAATAATAAAAATAAATTACTAATCTAGAGAGAGAAAGAGATGGTGAATGTAAGGTGGAGAAATAATTACAATGATAACTTGATGAGTAAGAAGTTGATAGATGGAATCAAAAGAAAAATGATTGCAAAATATAGTAAAAGTAACTGAAAAAGTACTTAGAAAATAATATTAAAAAGTTATGCATTTCATATTTTGAGATAAAACGTTTCTAAAAAACACATAGAAATAGAAAAAAAAAAGGGTAAAAAAAAAAGTTATGCAATGATAGATAAAGATGTGAGAAATGCTTAAGACATAATGACGGAGATTTGACTATAATGAAATAAAGAGTAATATGTAAGGTAAAGAAATAAATATAATAATATAACATTATAAGGAAAAACTTGAAAGTTG